CTGACAAATGAATTACTATAAAGATAATTTTCCGGAATGAGCGGCACACTGAGGTCTCGACTTATTTTTTTTTTTCAGAGAGTTTTTTCTTAAAAGGTAAAAAAAGGGAAATATGTCAGGAACAAGGCTGGAACAAGTCTTCTTCTGTCTGTGTTCCTGATTTCTTATCAAAGATGATCCAGGAACACACAAAGCTTCAGATGGGATTCATCCGCAGCAGGAAATAGTCCCTGACAACATTTCCTTCCTTCTGTTTTAGTCTCTCTAGGAAAAGCATTCACACGTTTTTTTCTGATTTTCGTTGCATTTAAACTTGAAAAGAGTTCAAACTTAAAACTTCTGCAGAGTTTTCCTTTAAATATGTGAAAAATGGGATTTGTGACCACAGAATCCAGAGAGAGTTCTTACCTGAGACGCCGTCGCCGCTCGCTGGACTCTGAGAAACACAAAAAGCAGAACGTTTTTATTTAAAAAAGGATTCAGAATGAGAACAAAGAGTCGAACATAACAGGTGAAAAAACAGCTATAAGCACACATCATTTATCCTCCAAATTTTATCTCGCCTTTCATCTCAGCAGCAACTCCTAAAACATGACATCAACATTTTTCTGTTCCAGCAGAAACCTGAGCGGCTGGTTCTGGATCAGAGATCTGAATCTGACACACACATCCACACACACCGCCGAGCTGCTCCTGTTCAGCTGCACTACACGTAAAGATGGTGTGAAAACACACAAACTAGGTGTTAAAATACACAAACTAAGTATTGAAATATACAAAATGGGTGCTAAAATACACAATCTAGGTGTTAAAATGCACAAAGTGGGTGTTAAAACACACAAACTTTGTGTTAAAATACAGAAACTAGGTGTTCAATTACACATACTAGGTATTAAATAACACAAACACACAATCTGGGTGCTAAAATACAAAAAACTAGGTGTTAAAATACACAAACTATGTGTTAAAACACACAAAGTGGGTGTTAAAACACACAAAGTGTTTGTTAAAATACAAAAAGTGTTTGTTAAAAAACACAACATGTGTGTAAAAACACACAAACTGTTTGTAAAAACACACCAAGTGTTTGTTAAAACACACAAACTGTTTGTAAAAACACACAAACTGTGTGTAAAAACACGGTCATGGGGTCCAGCTGAACAGCAGGTTAAAGTCCTCTGGTCACATTCCTGAATGTGTGTGTGGCAGGTTGTGCGTCCAGGACCGGCCCGACCGCCCGGTTATGTTGCCACGGCAACCAGAAACATGGAGGACGATAACGAGCTCTAAGCTGCAAAACCACTCAATAATAATAATAATAATAATAATAATAATAATAATAATAATAATAATAATAATAATAATAATAATAATAATAATAATAATAATAATAATAATCAGACTGGACTCAGAGGACTCACCTGTCCAGACTGGA